ACGCGTTGATGGGGGTGGTCACTGGTGACGGAGAATGAGACAGCATCTGCCAAACAAACAGTGAGATAAGCGATAATGCACAACACACTCACAACACACACACACACACACACACACACAGCAACACACACACACACACGACTTCACACCTGGGGTTGACATAGGGCCCGAGGTCCATGTGCATGGACAGCTGCTCCTCTGACAGCCGCAGGGCAGACACAGGGTGCGGCGGCTCGCAGATGGGCGACGAGAACTCGGCCTGGGTGAAGCTGAACGCCACGCGGCTCGCAGCCTGGTCGCGGGTGGTTGAGCGGCGCAGGTGAGCGGGCACAGAGGGTGCGGCGGGAGTGGGCTGGACGCGGCTGCAGACGCACACATGACGCACGAGGCTCTTGCAGCGCCGCACGCCGAGCGCTCCGCTGCAGGCATGCCTGAGGACGACCCGCTCCTGTTGAACCTGCAGCTTTAAATCAGCAGGCTGCCACCAGACCGCAGCCTCTCCCACAACCCGTATTTGGATGAAGCTGGAAGCAAAGCTCCTGCGAAGCTTCGGACCCAAAGGCGGCCCGCTCTGCGCGCCCGCGGACGTGCTGCGCACCTCAGACACGAAGGGGCTCGGCTGGAACGCGCGCCCCGACGCCAGCAGCACCATGAGGTGTCGCCGCAGCACGATCCCCATGATCACGCGCTCGCCCTCGGGCCCGCCGGTCACCACCGGGAACGCCGAGTGGCGCGTCGCGCGCAGCGTCTCTACAACGAGCGCGACACGCTCGACCCGCTGGAAGCAGACGGCCGGGCGCCCGCAGGCCTCGGCGGCGGTGATGTGGCGCATCAGGCCGTCTGAGTTGGGCTCCAAGTAAGGCAGCTGCTTGAAGTCCATGAGGGACTCGTAGATGGGTTTGACGCCGGTGCCGTCGCCGACCGCCTGCCGGGGCGGGGTGGTGGAGGGTTGGGGCGTAGGGGCGCCAGCTGCGGTGCACTGCTCTGAGCATGCGGCGGTGCATGAGGGCCCTCAGCGCCTCATTCGTGCTACAAACGGCCGCCCTGTGATGCGGAGAGACTTGATGTATGTTCTTGTGCGTGTCTTGCTCCGCGGGAGCGGCTCGGGATTCTGCAGGGCCAGCCCCCGTTGTGATAAGTGTGTGTCCCACCAGGTCCGGGCGCACCCAATCCCTGAACGCACGGCAGACCCCTGCGACCCCGCGCACCTTGGCCACTAGCAGCACCAGCATGACGAGCGGCAGCATGGACAGGTTGTTGGTCAGCTCCAGCAGCATCACGCACGTGCACACTGTCAGCCGCATGCTGCCGCCAAGGAAGCTCGCCGCGCCCAGCAGCGCGTACGTACCCTGCCGCGGTTTATATTTGGTTGCGAGGTGCAAGAAGCAAGGACATGCTCATCAACTGGCGTCGGCGGCATTCGGCGATGGCCTGAGGCACGCCAGGATGTTGCAAGCAGGGCGGACTTGACAACGAAATGCAACACATCCAAAGCAGGCGTTGCCTTGGCGCACGCAACACGCCCTGGCAGCTGCCACCCACCCCTTTTCCTTACTAGAACCTGACATCACCTTGATGCTGCCCCGCACCTCGTCGATGGTCTGCCTCGGGTGCATGTCCGCCACAAAGACGCCGACCAGCCGCCCATACGACGCGCCCAGCAGGATGCCCGGCACGAACAGCCCCGTGGGTATGGCGACGCCGTACGTCACCAACGCCAGCGTGAAGAAGGTGGCTGTGAAGACCACCAGCGTGTTGACCGAGTACTCGGCCTTGGTCTTGCTGCTGAACAGGTTGCGGATGGCGTCGTCCTGTTTGGGTGGTGGATGGGTGGACTGGTCGGTCGGTCGGTTGATTGGCTTGTGTGTAACCTATGTCGCCTCTCCAACTTATCGCCTTGCCCGTTTTTGGTGGGTTGGGATTGAGGTCGGGTTGATTTGGGGGAAGCAACGGCAGGCGGTATAGGAAGTCCCAAGCCGCGCTCAAGCATACCTGTGTCCACACGTGCGCTTGCACAATGCATGAGTGCGTGTGCAAGAGCGCGCGTGCACAAACACACACACACACACACACACACACACACACACACACACACACACACACACACACACACACACACACGTGCGCGCAAACATGCACACACACACACACAAACACACACGTGCGTGCACGCACATGCGCGAACACCCAAGCACCTGTGTGTTGAAGAAGAGGGTCGCCATGTCGTTGTACTGGCCGCCCTGCTCGCACATGAACGGCACAAAATTCCCGGTGGACATCGTGTCGGGCCGCGGGCACTCCTCCGCGCCACCCACGGGGCATGGCTGCGGTGCAGTCGTGCGGCGGGGTGCGGGTTGACAGAAACGGGGCCTAAGTGAGCCGGAGGCAGCCAAAGCAATCCATACGTTTAAGCATCACTGATCTTGTGGTGCTCCCGCAATCAGTCTTGGCTCCAAAGGCATCCAAGAAAAGAAGCCTTGCCAGACACACCACAGATCCTGCAAGCGTCATGATCGCGCGCAAACTGCACAACAGCCCTTGGAAACCCGCACCTGACACTGGGCCACCAGCGGCAGCGCAAACGCGACTGCACTGGTGACGACAGCAATGGCCAGCGCCTCCGCAACCCTGCCCCTGGCCCCATGCTTGTACAAGTTGGCCTTACGCCACTCAGCCAGGGCCTGCAATGGGTGGGCGCAGGGGGTCCAGCCGGATGTGAAGGCGGCCCAAACAAAACTGGCCAGCACCGAGCGGCAGGCGGGTGGTCAGCAGGGGGTGCTGAAGACCTCTGTGCCACCCTGGCGAGGCCACGCCTGGCGGTGCCGTGCAATGACGGATAAAAGGAGCCTCCAACCATGGCGCAAGAGGGCCCTTGAATGAAACAAAGCAGCTCCCAGCCGGCAGACGTCCCCGGACCTGGTTGGCGTGGTTGAAGGCGCTGCCCACAAGGCCGCCGATGACGCCTAACAGCAGGACGGGCAGCAGCTCGTGGGTCTCGAAGCCCTGGCGCTCCTCGTTCATCTCGTAGACGATCAGGCCGCCGCTGCCAAAGAAGCCGCATGCGGTGTCGGCGGCGCAGGTCTTCATGAAGACACGGACTGGGCGCCGATGGGGGGGGAGAGTCGGGGTGGTATGAGGGAGGGTGTGATCACGGGCCATTGAGAGCGTCACCAGGAGGAGAGAAGGAAGCAGGGGTGCGACATGTGGAGGTCACCATATGGCTGGCTGTGTGGGCCTAGGGACACAGTGAGTCGCAACATGTATGTCGGATATGGGTCAAGCAACCCGTTGTTTGTGAGACTTCAAGCGCTCTCACACACCACGCATCCACACATAGGGCGCACACACAAACATAGTTCAGCACACTAGCCAAGCCTCACGAATGCCCTCTGAAATGGCACGCAGACGTGTACACACGTGCGTGCATGTGTGCGTGCGTGCGTGCGCGCGCGCGCACACACTCACACACACACACACACACACACACACACACAAAAACACAAAAACACATGTTCGCAAACATGCACACACACTCACAAGCGCGCTCTCCCTCATTAGCACGTGCAGCCGCCCACCTGCGACGCTGACCACCGCCGTCGTGAAGAACGCGTACCACAGCAGCTGGTTGCGCCACCAGGTCGTCGTCTCCTCAAGAGCAAACAGCACGCCCCCCACGGGCGACCTGAACGCGGCGGCCACGCCCGCGGCCGACCCGCAGGCCACGAGGTCAGAGCGGTCCCTGTCGTTCCAAAACTGGCGGAACCAGGCCGGCGCGATGCCGGGCGGGCCGCCCTGGGGGCAGCGCAGGGTTGGGCAGCAGGCAAACGCACGTGAGGGGCCAGGGGCTGAGAAATTCATGCAGTCTCAAGCCTGGAAGCTGGGCTGTGCCTGCAGCACGGTTCCCTGCTGCTGTCCGCGGGCTACACAGCCTGTTCCTCAAGAACCTGATCTTGTGCGCACCTGAGACAGCAGCGCGCCTATGCAGGCGCCGGCGTGCACAAAGGGCCCCTCTTTGCCGACCGCGAGGCCACCTGCCACGGCGCCCACGGAGCCGGCCAGCTTGACCAGCAGGGTGCGCAGCAGGAATATGCCTGGCACGTCAATCCCGTTGAGGTAGGCCTGACGGTGGTTCGTGTTTGTGAATGTGAGCGTGTGAGTGTGTGCGCGACGTGTCTGAGTGTCAGAGTATGCTTGAGGGTGATCGTGTTTTGTGTGTGTTTGCGTGTGCGTGTACACGTGAGCCAGCGGCGCACGCCACCTGTGTGTCTGTCCATGCGAGTGCAGGTGTAGGTGTTCCCCCCCCTCTGCTGCCTACAACAACCCTTTCCACGCAAACACGCACCACAAACACTCGTCTTACCTTGACTTCTGCAATGCCCGATCCCGCAGCAGCTGGCGCCACAAACACAGTCAGTGCCACCCCCGCCAGCACGAGGCCCGAGTTGATGAGGACGTACAC